AAGTTTATTCAGCTTCTTCATAGAATCCAGTGATTTGGATCAAGTGCCCATCTTTATGTTGACTCTGTCAGGAGATATTCCCAGCTCAACGGTCACACACTCAAGATGATCTTGTCCTCACTGGGGCAGCCACAGTTGGTAAAATAATAGGTGTTTTTTCTGATCTTCTGTTTCACCAAGAGCCAGGTAAAACTGTTTTGTAAGTCCCTGTGTGATTAGCTTACATTATCTGCCAATATAATCTCTTCTAAAATCATTTTATTAATATGTAACATTAATCACATCTGCAAAAGATCATCTTCTTTAAAATATAATAATTACGAGAGTGATATGATTTTGCAGCAAAGGCCATATAGGTCACCTTAGAATTCTACCTATTCCACATCCAATAAGAGCAAATGATACAAAAATATCAGATTCGCTGGACCAATTCAAAGCCAAAACATAGAAGTTTCATAATTTCACAAGTGTCAATTAACATGATATTGAGCAAAATGAAAAATGGCTGTGGTGTTTTTCCTCACTTATTATTCTGTAACATGATTGATTTACTAATATCAAGCTAATCTATTTCTAAAATAAACATATTGCTTATAATGTATTATGTTTCATATAAATAACTGCATCTGGTTTTCAAGTATGTTATAATAATGAATCAGTAAAGCCAGTTACAGCTAATGTCTCTTTCTGGTATGATTTCAATTATGGATTAAATTGCTCTAACGTATGGAGGACTATTCAACATTTTGATTTCTTCTCCAGTTAATCTGAAAAGTGTGTTTCTTAAAGGAATTTGCCCATTTCACATAAAAATTGGTAAATTACTTGTTAGAAAGTCATTCATTATATTATCTCTAAAATCCACACCTCTGCAGATATTCTTTTTTCATTATTTACTTTAATAATTTGTATTTTTCCTTCTCTCTTTGCTTTATTAGGCTTGCTAAATCTTTATCAATTTGTTATCCTTTGAAAAGAACCTACTTTTGGCTTTATTGACTTTTACATAGTCTTACCATGTTAACTATATATAGTAAATTCTATTTCATCCTTTTGTTTCACTAACCTATATTACCTTCTTAATGATTATACTTGGATATAAAACCAGAATTCTTTTTTCATCTCCATGTAACTAATTCTTAATTTTTTTTTAAGAACTGGGGATTGAACTCAGGTCCTTGCACTTGAGAGGGAAGCGCTTATTCCACTGAGCCATCTCCCCGGCCCCTCCATGTAACTAATTCTTAATTTTTCAACTCCAGGATTCTCCTTTATTCCTAATACATGTAGAAGTGCTAAAGCAACAAAATGATTTTTTCTCCTGCTTTCAAATACTGTATGGCAGAAACTGGTAGATACTGTCAAACCCAATTCCCCTTTGGGCCTTAATAACAAAAGCAGAATCTCATGCAGATAACCATCTGGCCAAACAAAAGATTCTATTTCTTAGTATTTCTTCTTTCCAATGTGCTCTTATCAGGAAATTCTGGCAAAGAAAGTGAAGGAAAGGAGAAATGCAGTATTCCTAAGGAGACTGATTAAAGTTGACATTTAGGTGGGAAGATAAACGCTTCCTGCTGTACTGCATGGCCCAAGTCTCCCAGAATTCACTCAGATATAATGACGGAAACTTTGCTGGCCACACTGGACCACACACAGCTGTGAGGATAGAACACAGAAGAATACACAGAAAACAAAACCTTAAAAGAAGCTTGAATTCCTGATTTTGTGCAATCACTGAGAATTCTTGGACTACAGAAAAGATCTGTTATTTAAAAGAAAAAAAACTTTTGCATAGTTTAAGTCACATGTTTAGAACTATCTGTTATATAGAACTAAATTAAATAAATGAATAAACATATACTTAGTTTCTTTTATAAATAAATATTTATCAGCCTGGCAAGCACAAGGTCCTGAGTTTGATTCTTACAAAAAAAAATAATAATTGGCTAAAGCATTCAAAAAACTACATTATAATATGATGACTATGATCCTCTTTCTCATGTTTCTGTTCTGAAAATAATCCTATATTATTTTCCTGTTTTGCTCTGTTATATTAATAAATGATGAAGCATGTTTACTTGTAAATAAGAGTAAAATATCATAAAGTTCATAAGAAATAAACTCTGACCCCTTCCAAAACCTAGTTTTATTACATTTAGTACAAGTTCATTTGTTTGAAAAAGCATGCAAATGTATTAAACTTTATAAGTAATAAACTCTGAGCTCCACAAAACTTTGATTACAAAAACACTAGCATTGAGATGGCTCCTACTTTGATACTGTCAAAATAAATTTACAACCACATGATGCAGCCAATCCACACTTGGAAATTTTCTTCAGAATATAAGAAAAAAAATCTGCATTTCTGAAATTTCTGTTCACCAAGCCAGATTTATTTATAAGAAATATTCAACTATTTGAAATAACTACCTGCATTACCCTAACTTATGTCTCTTGATATCTAAATATCTGTTCCATAAGTATTTTTCTCATATTGCACCTATTTGATATTTTTTATGGGAAGGTTCCTTCTAGATATACAAAATTTGAATAAATGGGTAATATTACTGTCACCTGTAAGACCACAGTCCTGTTAGCAATCATGTTGCAGAAAAAAGATCTTTCATCTGAAGCCTGTGACAAATAGAAACACTACAAAAAGTACTCCCTAGGAAATTGGAGAGTCAATTTAAGAAGACAAACTGAACTCCGCAGAGGTTTTTCATATTTCAGCAGTGCTTGAACACAAGCATTGTCTAGTAAGGAACCCGACTATTCTGTGACTGTGAACCTCCAGATCCGGGCCCAAACCTTAGAATAGAATCCCAATTGAGTCTCATAAAGCAAGAGAAAACAGGAAAATGAAGAAAAAATGCCAGGGTTCTAAACAACACAAGTCAGAGAGTGTAGCTTACCTAATGAAAGGAAACTATAACCTATTATTTTAGAATGAATTAAAAGACAGCAAGAAAAGTATGTAAGACTCATAAAACCTATAACTAGACAAATATTGAAACCACCATGGAAAAAGAATCTGTGTTTAAAACTCTATAGATAGATTTAACTTGAAGTGGCCTAATGACAAACATGTTCTAGCAAACTAAAAAATTCTCTAGAAAAATAGAAAACTAAATGTTTTAAATTAAAATATGATAAAATTATGCAAGGGAATGATAGCTCTGATAAAAAAAAATCAAGCAATTGCTCAACAAAACATTGAAATTATATATGTTAAATATGTAGAACAAAAAGTCTCTAAATTTAGGATGTGTGTTATGTTTCAATGTAATATATGGTATTTCAAAGCAGCTTAAGCAAAACTTTCAAGAAAAGTAAAAAAAACATTTCATAGTGGGAAGATAATTCTCATGGTTAGAAATAGACATAAGAAGACCAATCACTTGGATCCCCTAGGTATAGCAATCTACAAGAACACTTTATGATAGCTTTTCCTATCCTAAAGATAGGGAAAAAAAGTAGTATTTCCTGCATTTAGCTTTCACTTTCCCACAGAAGATCTAGAAATGCTTTTCTGATTTCAGCTCCCACATTCTTTTAATTTATTGCTCTATGTATCAATTCAGCAAAAATGTTTTGAGCACTCAGCGTCAGTCAATCACTCTGTGATGCGCTCAAGATGCAGAAAGCAAACAAGGGGTGTGGCCTCTACCTACAGACTTCACAGTGCGTCTCAGTACACAGACAACTACACAGCTACAGCAACACAGCACAGTAAGTGAGACAAGTTTGTAGTGTAGATGTTTGTCCTAAGCAAATTGGGATCCACGTGCTCCACTAACCACCTACTACATGTAGACGAGTACAAGGGGACTCTTCTTTACCACAGAATGTTGAATCTCAATTCAGTGAAATCCCCTAACTTTCCTTTCTCAGGAAATGTCTACCTTACTCTATGTTTTATTATTAATATTACCATTAATTTAAGACAGAGTTTTGCTAGGTAATTCAGGCTAAGCTTGAAGGCCTGCGTGGCCCAGGCTTGCCTCCCGCTATCACAATCTTCCTGCCCCCAAAGACTGGGAGTATGATGAAATTCCACACAGCCAGCTCTATACTTATTTTAAGCCTACATATATTTCAGAGCCAAATGTCATTTCTATCTCTTGAACTTTCTTTCTTTCTTTCTTTCTTTCTTTCTTTCTTTCTTTCTTTCTTTCTTTCTTTCTTTCTTTTCTTCTTTCTTTCTTGCTTTCTTTTCTTGTGGTACTAGGGATTGAACTCAGGACCTTGTGCTTGCCAGGCAAGCACTTATTCTACAGTGCTATCTCCCTGGCCCTTGAACTTTATTATTATCAACTCAAAATAAACTATAAAAATGTTCATTTATTTTTCCATATGATTGATACTTGGCATGAATAATTACACATATATTGATTGACAAACATCCTTATCTCCCAAGAATATTGAAAGACCAAAACATAGTTTCCTTCATTTGCAAAGAACAACTACAGCAAAGGAATGCAAGAAAAACCAGAAGGAAGGACAGCTTGCTAAGAGATAACAGAGATGGGTGTGATAGATATATTTTAGCACAACTGTTTTCAGATCCAAACAAGGTATAAACTCCTTGTGTACAATTTTTTCATGGTTTATATTTCCATGGTATCTCATTATCTAATTCATGGCTTTAATTTCTATTATGTCCAATTACTGAGAAAATGAGTTATTGATTTATAGATTTAAATTTTATTCTGTTAAATATCAGACTTATTCAAATAATGATTGGTAAAGGCTTGTTATTTTAGAGTCAATTTTAAAATAAAAAATACAGCTCCAAATTTTGATTGTGCTAAGTATTACATATACATATATATTTTTTCTTTAATATTTTCCTTAGAACTAGCATAAAAAGCTTGTCAAATATCATTTTGAGGATGCAGAATACAAAAAGAAAATACAAGTTATCAGAGAACTGGCTTTTTATCACTGATTTTCTTATTGCTTCCTTATTGAATTAGCAAACAAATAAAGCTTACCTGAAATGTTTTCTAACTAAGAAACCACGTATCCATCTTTGAATAATCAAAACTGGTGAGTTATGAGCCAGAATTACATTAATTCTTGAAATAATATATTTAATGTTATTAATTTCATCCTCATAGGTTTTTCCCTGTATAAGCAAAATATATTCAGTAACTTGTCTTTCATGACAATATTTATAAAACATATTATAATCTTGGTAATGCAATTATATAAAAATTAATAAAATATATATATATGTATCATAGTCATAGTAATTAAATAATATATTTCAGAGTATTTTTATTAAAAGTAAAATATTAAGAATTATTAGCATCAATTACATTTCCCTATACAAAATGCAGTTTCTTAATAATAGTGTGCATTCAAGATTTTTACACAGATCTGACAACACATATGTAATATTTTGATTAGAGTCATTCTGATCTCTCAAAGGATGGCATCCAGTGAAATTTAAAAGTAAGTTGTGGGGCCAGCCAAATATCTCAACAGATTAAAGCATCTGCAAGCAGGTGCAGGAGCCAGGGGTTTGGTCACCAGGCCTGCTGTGCCTGTCCCGCCCCCGGGGCCCACTGAGACAGCAATTGAGACTGGGCTTGGTGGTGTGGGCCTGCAATCCCAGCTCTTGGGAGGCTGTAAACAGGTAGAACACTACGAGTCCAATCTAGTAGTGAGACCCTGAAGACCCTTGTAGACCCTTCCCCTAAAATACAAAAAAAGTAAGTTGTGGATCACCAAAAACTATTACAGGTCGAATTTACAAAGTAAGTTACAGTAGTTTAAAATGTTGTAGCTTTACTAAGATGTTGGATGCTTTTATTTGAACATATGCATTCCATCAGGAAAGATACTACCTTTAAGAAAGAGCTCCTTTCTTGCAAATCTTTAGATTTGAGACCATACACTCTTTGTAACTCATTGAGCACTTGAGTGTTTAGAAATAAGGTCATTATTACTTCTGTTTTCAATGTAGAATACATTTATTTATTTATTAGAATAATACATTTAAAATATGACATTTACATTACATAAAATCACCTAATCTGGAGATTACTATCCCTGTGATGTTCAAAATATACACCTCTACATCCTGTATGCATCGTTATCTATTTCCTGTACAAGATATTACAAACTATTGTTAAAAAAATTGCTCCTTCAGATTTATGCTTCCAAACATATTAGAATCAATTGCTCATTTTTTCACTGCCTAGAAACCATAGCTGGAGTTAACATTCCAAAATTCAAATCTGATCACACGGCAGGCTTGCTTGATATATTTATTTGATGGCACCAGAAGATCAATTACAAAACCTTGAGTTGGCACAAAATGTCTCTCATGACTAACTTCTTTCCTCATTGCAGTCTTATCCCCTTTCTCATGCTGTGCAGCAGCTTTTGTTCTGCCAGTACCCCCCTCTGAAGCTCAATCACACCTCAGCGCACCCAACACATGCCACTGCTTTTCCAAACTGCCCTCTCAATTGTCTCTGTCTTATTCTTTGGGAAATCAAGTTCATTCCTCCAAAAAAGATTCTCCTGACATTGATCTCAGAACAATATCCTTCTGCAATATTATCCCGTGCAGTAGCTCATCCATCAGACTTGACAGTGTTGAATTTTACCTGGCCCCTGTAATCCTGAAAAGGCTTGGAAGTTAAGAAATCTCCTCACTTCTTTGTTTTAGGAAAAGGCAAAGATAAAGGCAAAGAGGTAGCAATCTTCTACCTCTTCTGACAGACACATAAACTCACAATTTCCCTCTTGTTAGAGGCACACAGACATATCTACCAACAATTCGCTGAACTGTTCAGTCCCCATTGTTTATCAGAATAAAACCCTTCTGGGCCAAACTTTGGCTAAGGTTTTCTACATCTCCAAAGCCTGATTCACCTGCAGACTGAGCCAATAAGAGCCATTTTTGAGAACAGGAGAATCACAGGTTCAGGCATGCTCTATCTACTGGCAGGTCACGATGCTTCATTTATTGCATTTTCTTACATCAACCTCTCTCCAATCTTGCTCTACACTGTCTGAAAAAGGAAAACCTTTTGACTAACCTTTCAGACCTTTGCGTAGCTTATAATATTCAGGTCTCAGCACTATCTCTAGTACAACAATGTCTGCCAAGCCTCTGTGAATGGTCCCATCCCTAACAGGAGATAAGCTTTTTAAATAAAGCCATTTACTTACTAAATCTTGATTTAAAAAAAAAAATGATGTTCCTACTATGATGGAATTATTGACCTATTTTTGCAATATAAGATAAGTTTAACAACTTTTTTTTAAGTTAGGAAGGTTTTTTTTTGTTGTTTTGTTTTGTTTTGTTTTGTTTTGTTTTGCAGTACTGGGGATTGAACTCAGGACCTTGCACTTGCCAGACAAACACCTATTCTACTGAGTTATCTCCCAGGCCCTCACAACTTTTTCTTTATCTATCTAGGACGAAGTTTCCTGGTTTATAACTGGTATTTGAATATCAACTGACTATCAAATCACCAAGTACAGGTAGTCTGTAATGTTGGCCTGTAAGCTTGTCAGGCAGTGCCAAAGAATGCAGTACTTTAACACAATTATTTTCCTGAGTTGCAATGACATCACACTGCTGATTTTTTCTCTTTTTACTTTTGATTTTTAAGTCCTTATTGTTGGTTCCTCTTCTTCTGGAAGACATTTAAACATTTAGGTAACATGTTTTTATTCATTCTTTCATTTTAATTATTTATGTATTCATTCTTTTATTTGAGGCAGGATCATATCATGTAATTCAGACTGTCCTCGCTGGTCTTGGAACTTATAAGGATCCCCCTGTCTCAGCTTCCAGGTGCTGGGATTGTAGGCATGTGTCACCATGCCCACCCCAAAGTTTTTAATTTCCAGTGGCTAATTTAAGTTTTGTTCTTTTAAATCTCTATTTACTAAATTAGGCTTTCTTTCAATTTCTACATGCCAAATTTCTTCAAAGGATTGCCTTCCTTCTTATACCATACTGCTTCAGATATGCAGACTACATACACAGCTCTATTACCTGTCAAGAATTATCTTTTGAATTAGAAACTCATAGAATTAATTTTCAATTCCATTTCTCTACTTGCACATAAAAATTGAAATAATTCTTTCTCTATTTAAGATGTACACTTCATATTGTATTATCTATATAGTAATTAACATTACCTTCACCTTGTCAACATAGTTAATAAAGCCACATTCCCCTTTGTCATTCCTTTCCCCCCAATAAATCATTTAATTCTATCAAATATCTCCTCACTTTGTTACCTATAATCTCTATGCCCTCTACCAACTTATTAAATCAACTCTTTTAAGGCCCAAACTTCTAACAAACTTTTTCAGAAACACCCAACCCGTCTGATAAAATAAACCAAGAGGCCTGTGCACTAGGACAGGCAGATGGGCCTGGCACTTTAAGTTCCTCTGTGAATTAACCGAAGCCCACCATAAACTATACACTGAGACTGCACACTACCTACTAACATCTTATCAAGATGTTGCTAATTTCTTTGCTAATTAATCTAAATTGTTTCCTGTCTTGATCCCTAAACTTGTTTTATATGTTTCTCCTTTTTCCCTCCAGGAAAAGTACTAGCTATTTGTATCCTGGTGCCAGAATATACATATCAACTCTTTAAAATTTAGATGTGCTCATGATAAAGTAGCTTTTATCAGTTCAAATTCCCTTCTGCTCCAAAATATCAGAATAAAAGATGACTTTTCTAAAATGAAAATGGGGTCACAGGGCCAGCAAGATAGCTCAGCAGACTAAGTGCCTGCTTTGGCATAAGCTCAGGGAACAGGGTTCAATCCCCTGTCCTAAGTGCCGCACCAGCCCCATGGCCCCAGAGGCTTGCTGATCCAGCAACCAATTTCAGACATGGTAGTTCACTCCTGTAATTCCAGCACTGGGAAAGCTGCAAAGAGGAGATCACCATGAGTCTGATCTGTATATTGAGAGCCTGGGGAGGCCGGGGAGATAGCTTGGGGGGCTGGGGAGATGGCTCAGTGGAATAAGCGCTTGCCTGGCAAGCACAGGGGCCTGAGTTCAATCCCCAGTTCCGCCCCCCCCCCAAAAAAAAATTGAAAGCCTGTACCAAATACATAAATGAAAAAATAAGAAAGAAAAAAAAAAGAAAGGAAAGAAAAGAAAATAGAGTCACATAAAAAGCTTAAATATTTCCCCAAGATCGTAAAAAAATAGTCGTCTCCTTGGTGGTATCTCACTTACTATTATAATCCTGTTCTGTTTCGAACATCGTTTGAAATGCTTGAACACATCTTCTAAACTATGAATACTGGATTACTTGTTGTCACTAGAACTTGCCAGCCCCTATGAACACTCCGTGTCTTTGCAAATGCTTTCTGCTACACTTGTGGCAATACCTATGTGCCTAGATGCCTTGCATTCAAAAACCTGTCTGAGAGATAAACATTTATGCTTTCATTTCTATTTCTGTTCCATTAGAAAGCTGACCTTTGGAGATTTTTAAATTCTTTCATGAATTCATCAGACCCATCATATTTTCACCATTTTCTTAGTTTTTATTTCTCCTTTATTTGCTTTAATTTCTCTACCACAATTTTTTGTATTTGTTTTAGATATCCTGGGTCTGAATTCTATGGCTTATTATTGTTTTCTCAACATTTTCACATTTCTTCTCAATTTGGTGGAGCCATTCTGTCAAAGGCCAGCTTTTCTGTGGCTGTCTATGGTTTTTTTGTTCTTTTAATCCCTGTTTATTTCCTCACAGATAAATCCACATATATATTTGCTGCTTATTATAAGCCAGCCTACATTTGGACCTTTCTATGGTCCCTGTTCTGTGATCTGTAGCAACTGATCCCAGCTGCCACTTGGTCTAACTTCACAATGGCAGAATTTCCCCCAGGGCTTGGTATTTTATCATGTTTATTAAGAAAAATATCTGAAAATCAGGCTGCCTTATAGTCTATATTTGATTCAATAGTCTTTTAGTCCACTCAGACTACTGCAAAAAGACACAACTTAATAACCACTGTGTAGTTAAAAGTAACAGAAATTTCTAACAGTTATGAAAGCATGGAGGTCCGACGTAAGTCACAAGTAGATTCTGTGTATGCCTGAAAAAGGTTCACTCCCTG